TTTTTTTGAGGTGGAGTCTCGCTCCATAGCCCAAGCTGGAGTGTGGTCATTAAATTTTGGCTCACTGCAACTTCCACCTCTCAGGTCCCTGTTCAAGCACTTCTGCCTCAGGCTCCCAAGTAGCTGGGGTTATAGGAACACGCCACCATATCCAGCTAATGTTTGTATTTTTAGTAAAGATGGGATGTCACCATGTTAACCAGGCTGGTCTTGAACTCCTGACCTCGTGATCCGCCTGCCTTGGCCTCCCAGAGTGCTGGGATTACAGGCGTGAGCCACCACGTCTGGCCTGATTTTTTTTTTTTTAATTAAATAACTTGGGTATAATAAAAGAGCATAGTCCTCCTGGGAAAACTTCTTCCTTGTCTTCTGTGTCTACTATGGATAAGTACTTTTGCAATGTTTTTGTAATTTTTAGATGTGTCTGCATATTTTTGAGACGGGATCTTTGTCACCCACGTTGAAGTACAGTGGCTAGATCTTGGCTCACTGCAACCTCTGCCTCCCAGGCTTAAGCTATGCTCCCACCTCAGCCTTCTGTGTAGCCAGGACCACAAGAATGTGCCACCATGCCTGGCTAGTTTTTTGTAGAGACAGGGTTTTGCCATGTTGCCCTAGCTGGTCTCAATCTCCTGGAGTCAAGCAATACCCCCCGCACCCCCAGACTTGGCTTCCCAAAGTGCTGGGGTTATAGGTGTGAGCTATCACGCCTGGACCACCGTTTTTAAAAAAAACATACCCAGAAGTAACATACCAGGTTGGATTACAACTAGGCAGAAAGGGGTTCAGGAGAGGCAGTCTTGGGGCAGAGCCCATTTACAATGCCAAACATGTTCACGTTCGACAGTTCTTAAAATTGACTGGATTGTTAAATACAAGTAGTCAGCATGAACCAGTTTATTTGTAATAAATTACACTGAAAATTAAACGTCACAATGTATTGGCCTCATTTTTCAGAGGCTCTTTAAATACCATAGTTGTCCTATTTCCAGGTTATAATGAATATACCATAGAAACAAGTTTTTTCACAACACAGCTCAGAAAAGCTTAAACTCTGAAGATCTTATCTATTTTATCCTTTCAAGAGCAATCAGCAGTTTCTCATCGGCCTTTGATGGTTTTTAGATGAGTTTATGATAAACCTGAATATTTAGTATGAAAGCATGAACCAGGTTAAATGGTTAACCTAATTTGTTAGTGGTTAAAAAAATTTTAAGGATTTTTGGATTCTTGTGCAATGACAGCTTAAAAACTGGTAATTCCCAAGTGGCAGAGAAGGAGAGTACTGGGTTAGAAACTTTATTATTTGGGGGAGTTTATAGTAAACCAGCAAGTTAGAAAAGGGGGACATGCTTTAAGTTTTTTTTTTTTTTTTTTTTTTTTTTTTTTGTTTCTTTTTTTTTTTTTTTTTTTTTTTTTTAATTTTTTTTTTTTTTTCGCGTTTGTTACCCAGGCTGGCGTGCAATGGCTCGATGTCGGCTCACCGCAACCTCCGCCTCCTGGAATCAAGCAGTTCTGCCTCAGCCTCCCAAGTAGCTGGGACTACAGGCACACGCCACCATGCCCAGCTAATTTTTGTATTTTTAGTAGAGCCAGGGTTTCGCTATGTTGACCAGGATGGTCTCCATCTCTTGACTTTGTGATCCACCCGCCTTGGCCTCCCAAAGTGCTGGGATTATAGGCGTGCACCACCGCACCCAACCTAAGCATAAGCTCTTAATGTAAAAAAGACAAATTGTGGAGGTTAATGGATTTGTGAACTGTGAATATGAGATACTTTAATCAAAGTCCAGGAAGATAGAAAGCAAAACCTGAAAGATAAATTTCAAGTTTTTGTTATTTCTGTGGCTGGCTGCATTTTTTTTTTTCAAGACATTAAGAGAGGTTAATGAGTTGCCCAGCTGACACTAAGAATTTTCACTGGAGTTCCTTGGTCAGGGTGAATCAATGTAGTACAAAGGGGAAAAAACCCAGCCAAGGGATTCTTTTAAATGACTTGGTGTTTGTATATAGTGTAATATAACAGAATTGACTAGTTGTATGCATAACCTTAGCACATAGTTCTCAGAGGGAAATATTAATACTTAAAAATTCCTTGTAAATGATACCTCAAAACTGCAAAGTTTGGGGTAGTGGGTGCAGCTGGGGGCAAGGAGACTAGAGAAGAGTTAAAGCAGAATTTTACTGTTTCTGTTTGGCAGGCCAAATAGCAAACAGATTTCTTGTCAGGTTTGCATTTATTTGAATTGACTAATTGTATTTTCTCTTTACAGTATCCTGGAAACTTGTTCATTAGCAATTAGAATTTCAATTGGGTACTGAATTTAGCCTCAGACATAGGTGGACCTAGACCATAATCAAAACTGCCTTAATGTAATCAGGTTTTATAACAACATTTCCTGTGACTGTTAAGGTCTAAGTTGCTGGAGTGAGCAGACAGGGACTAGTTACTGTGTGCAATGGATGTTAAATGTTGACTAACAGAATAGGTATAAATAGGTGCATATTTAAGTTTTCTTCCTCAATTGTTTAAAGTACACTGAACAAGTCATTTCCCAAAATGTCAAATTATCCAAGTTCAGTTCTAGTAATTTACTTAACCCTAGCCCAAAAGGATGCTACATAAAACTAACTCAGACCATCAACATTCTGAATTGTTGCTATACTGCAGTATAGCAACTTTTTTATATTCACAGAGTTGAGTCTAGCTTTCCTTCATCCTGTGATCTTTCCATGAGATGACTTTTGGAAATTATGGGTTTTTTTTTGAGGGACAGAGTCTTGCTCTGTCATCCAGGCTGGAGTGCAATGGTGTGATCTCAGCTCGCTGCAACTTCTGCCTCCTGGCTTCCTAGTAACTGGGATTACAGGAGGTGCCTGCCACCACACCTGGCTAATTTTTGTGTTTTTAGTAGAGATGGGGTTTTGTCATCTTGGCC